GTGTGTGTGTGTGTGTGTGTGTGTGTGTGTGTGTGTGTGTGTGTGTGTGTGTGTGTGTGTGAGATCACACAGCTGTGGGGGACATACAGTATCTGCCTTTATCTCTCAAGGCCGAACAACAAATGGGGAGTCAAAATAATCCAAGTTTTGGTTCAATGCTGGGCAGGAGTTCATTTAACAGGGTTTACTGGAGGGCCAACACTCAAATTCAGGAAAACAAAAAATAATAAAAATTTATTAAAAATAAATAAATAAAAGTGTATTAAGTGAAATAAATACGGTAGATTGAACCATACCGAAGCAGATGTGTGTTGAATTAAAAACACTAAAGTATTGAGAAATATATTTGTTGTGGGAGACTAAACRGCCGGCGGGTTGGCCGGGGTGGCAAGTGCACCCCTGGCACCAGGTGCCACCSCCAAATGATTGGAAAGTGGGGTGGGGGGTTGCATGTGGCAGTAAAAGATGGTCAGTTAAAGCAAAAACAGAGGAAATATCTGTGAAGCAGCTGTAATATCTGGTGTAGAGGGAACCAATCAGTGTGTGAAGACAAAATAATCACTTTCCTAAACCACTTAAAAAAAATAAAGCAACAATTGTGTGCAATAGTTCTGGGTTTAGGAACAGAATGAGTCTGTAATGACATAGAGCAACTAGAAAAGTTCTTTGAAACTTTAAGCTACTTTAAATTTATATTTGTACTATAAATTGGTGATCAGTGTGTTTTTAAAGCTCATTCTGAAGTGAATACTGTAATGACAGAATGTGTTATCTTCTTATTCACAATCAATAATCAATGTTTTAAGCATGTTTTAATATAAGACATATTGTGTAATCTTTAGAAAAGGATGAATCAATAAAAATGCTGTAATTTTAAGTTAACAAGCTTAAACTGTAGATAAGAGTATCTCTCAAGCCGCCTGCAGTAACAGTGTCTTGAGGCAACCTGCWGGTACCGACGGTGCACAAGAGACTGAGCCGTCAGGCATGAAGAAAGATAAGAGAAAAAACCTGTTTGAACTGACAGAGGTTTTGCCGAAGCGGGCAGCAGTTTCAAATTTATGTGCGATGAAAAAGTCCCATCCAGAGTAGGCGCAAAAGGGAGTCCAGCCGGGCGGGTTTGAGAATCGTTACTTAAACAGACCAGGCACTGTAGCAAGATAAATGAAGCCATTAGTTATATGGGAAAAACCCATGCTTCGGCTAAAACTTCAAGAATCAAAGAGGGAAAAATCATATAGGCTCAGTTGTCACATGAAAGGCTAGGTAGCATCGTATTTACGAGTGAACACTTCAAAAAGGCTGTGTGATCATAGATCTATAAATGAAATATAATGAATTGAAGTTGTTTAAGTAAAACATTTCTTTGATGTGCTGAACTGCATAACTGAAACACCGACTGTGACTAACACGATGTGAAACATTGTATGTATGAATTAAAACACACGGTTTGGAGTTTGAAAAAAAGAGGCATAGTTTAGAAAAAAGTCCAGTGTCRTGAAAAGTTTGAGGATCAGGCAACCACTAAGGGGCGCTCGGGAGCAGAGCGAAAACATTACACCKTTAAAACTGAAGCCAAGAAGTTCAGAAAAAGGGGAAAAGGGCGGACCTCACCGGGAGAAGACCGCCTCAAAGGAGGGAGAAGGAGGAGACAGCCATCCTATAAATTAGCAGTGTTGTACAAAGTACCACAAAGTGATACTTGAGTAAAGGTACAAGTATCTTACCATAAAATTACTTTGGTAAAATTTAAAAGTCTCTTGAGTAAAAGTCTTAAAGTTTCTGATGTTTTTTTGTACTTACCGGTAAGTATTAAAAATAAAAATGTTGAGTAAAAATAAGTGGTTAGATTTTCCAAAATGGTATTTATTGGGA